AAATAAGTCAATTTAACAGAGAACAGGCATGTTTCACAGTTGGCTGGTAGATTAAAAACCAGAAACTTGTCACTGAAAGGTAAAAAGTTTCTGGTTTTTGAGTGAGGCTACACCCCCCACGCTGCCCACTGCAAGCCTCATTCCTAGCAACAGCCAGATTGCATCACTTTGAAAGGCGTATTGCTCTGTGGTAGAGCCCACGATTACCCATGCAGAGTGATATGAGTCAGCAATAACTGCTAACATTATCAAATTAGCTTTATCTGCAGATCCTAAAATCGTCTCTGCCTGTTTGAACATCTTCACAAGAAGACAAATCATCTTCTACAGTCAGGTCCTGGGCATACTTGTTTTAATCGTAACAGTGTCAAGTGTATAAATGAGGACATTACTGGATGCCACGTAATATTCCAGGATATGTCATTGTTTCCATGCTGAATCAACCCCAGAGAAGAGACACAACTGAAACCCAAAAACATCAGGTCTTTATAAAAATTAAAGTGGCTGCCTGCAATAACCATTGTTACGTGCTTTGCATTGGGACCCTCTTCTTTCTCCTCTCCTCTGTTTTTGTAAAGGAGCAGCAGTGTTTAGTAGCAGAAAGAAGAGTGTGAGAGTAATGACTCATGAAAGAGGGAGAGCTGAACACGAAGTTTTGCAGCCTAGAGCCACCCATGCTGATTAGTCACCAAATACTACCCCACCACCTCTACCATTACAAATAAAGGAACACATAAATGTGTGTGTCTGTGTGTATATGCATTGTAGTTTACCTTCAACAGCTAGGAGGGCAATAACAAACTAAAAAGACAGCAATTAAATTTGAGAAATACTCTAACTCCACAATATTCATGTCAATATGAAAAGCAAACATTAAAAGTTGTGCTTTCAAGGAACTCAGCCTGCCCACCTGAGGCTTGTAGCTATTTGACAAAGGGTAAAACCTGTTGTGTAACTTGATGGTGGCTCTCTCACTTTGTTGACCTACTTCTACTTCAGGCTCTGCACTCTCACATAAAACAGGGGAAGGTGACCTAGGTGTTGAAATGGCAGTGAGATTTGTGAAACAAAGAGCTAAATTTTCACCTTCATCATTATCATGGCTGAAACTGAAATATAAATGTTTAAGAAAAAGTGGATGAACGTTACCACACAGAGGAAACTTGACAGTGCTGTTGAAATAACATGGATTTATTTTTTTAATGTGTTCTTCCACACATGTGACAGGTGAGCTGTTAGATTGTAGTATTTCATTAATGACAAAATCACATTGTTTTGATCATGTTCTGGAGAGTTTGTGGAAGTGAGTTTTTACATTTTGTTTTATCAAGTTATTTATTTGTTTGTTTGGTCATTTAAATTCAGAATAAGTCTGGCAATTAAAAACAAAAAGAAAAAAGTCCTCATAGGTGCTGAACTTCCCAGTGCAGTTAAAAACTTGTAAGTTTATTAAAAGAAGATTAAGAACAAAGTTTACAATGTGCAGCATCAATCCATTTTCTTGTCAACATAACCAAGAAAAAAAGATGTGGACACTTCAGAGATGTAAATGACAATGACATAACTACTGGTTCTTTGAAAAGAGCAATCAGTCAAAGAGTCACCAGATCTCCTGATTCTTGCTGTATTTTATATGTTTTGTGGTGATCCTACTTTATTTTGTGTTTTGTGTATCTTAATGATCTATTTTGACACACATTGAAAACAATCTTGACTCAGACATTATTGTGCTTTGTGTTAATTCTAAACAGATAAACATCGCATCAAAATCACACAGGCCATCATCAGTTTTCCTGATGATGCTTTCAAAAGTCCTTTTTTCAGTAACTTTAGCATCTTCAATATGAGAAAGAGACAGGAAACTGAGTCACTGATGAACGCGAGTCATCAGCCTCTTGTCCCTCTGTGTCCTCTGTGCCAATGGAGAGATGCCAAACTGTGTTTCATTATTCTAATAACAGTGACAATAAAGATCTAATCTAATCTAACGTCCAGCTCTAAAGTGGAAATACATCCACTACACTCAGTTAATAAAAATTCATTTTTTTCCTGTTCCTCCTTTTGATTTACTGAAAACTAATCACAACGGGAAAAAAATCAAAATGACAACAAAAACCTGACGTCTTCAGTTGAATCAAGTAGGTCAGCAGCTATGAGTCTCTTCTTTCCTTCTGACACAAAGTGAAAACTGAATCACAGAGAAGCAGCAGGTTCACCTATCCAGTCAGAGGCATTGTTAAGTGATCAGAAATGTTGGGTTCTTTACCTACACAAGTACATTTTATAAGACAGATTTCTAAAGAATTTTAGAACAGCACCTCGCAGAAACTTCACACTGAGAGCTGACAGCACAGGCAACTACACCCCCATGTTTCCTATTGCAAAACCACATTCATGTCAATACATCTACAGATTACAGTCCATTCAGAGGTGTAATGCTCTGTGGTTAAGTCCAGGCTCATGCGATGAGTGATATCAGTTCTGGCTTGAGGTAAGATGCTTTGATTAATCAATCAACAGCAGGACAAAATAACATGAAGACACTTCCAAAAAACAGCTGATGGGAGCAGAAAGGCTCCTAAATAAACTTGAGATCTGTGTGTAACTGCTGGATATCTGAACAGATGGATTTGTAGTCACTGTGCCACCTACGCAAATGCTCATATTATTGTTTTTATTTTATTTTTATTCATTTGTTGTCTTTGGTTCTGGTTGTTATTTCCTCAAGAAGACGCAAGACTAAACCATTAAAGAGAAATACTGCAACTGAGCTTTTCACTATCCATGTCAACATGAGAGCCACAATTCACAACAAGCTGCTTTCAAGGAACTCTGAGGTTTGTGTTCAACAAAGGATAATACCCCCTAAGTGATATATGTTTTTACGGTGGTTACCAACTCTCAAGTTACGTGGGATCGTACATGTAACAGGTCGGCTGTTAGTTAGATTTATGTGGTAGAACTGTTTGTAAAAAAACAAATTAATTCTTTATCACTTATCTCACCTTTCAATTTTATGTGTAACATTTAAATTACTGTAGTTATTATGGCAACTTGTGAGAGGTAATAATGGTTCTTTTTTTGGTATTTTGGTGTATATACCAAAAAAAACTGAGTAAAAAAGTTGTTGTTATAAGACATTTTAAGAGAAACCATAGCCTGTCACACACTCACATCCCAGAGAGACCGAAGAACACTACCACAACCAGAAACCAGGGTCAGGCTTGTGTTTTTGTGTTAGTTTCTAGAGGTAGCTCAGGTTTCAGAGCTTTGGATGGTGAACATCAGCTGTTGATTCAAATAAGCTGGTGGTGAAACTTCAACTTCTGAACTTTGAATAGCAAGTTTAAAAAGCAGGTTCTCCACTTGCACTGGCTCCACTTGTGAGGCTGTGTGGATAGGGAAAACCCACATTTGTCTCACACAAGCCCTGAGTGGCTGTGCCTACACAGGGCCAACAGCACTGTGTAGGCATGGGGATTACTACTTGAGGTCAGTGTTGTAGGTTGAATTCTACAGCTAAATGCTGATGGCAAGCGTATGACTGGAAACAGGTTTATACAAGCCTGATTCAATTCTAAGAAATTGGCAGAGGTTGGAGGAGAAGTGAATAAACCAGTTAAATAATTTTGGAATTCCCCATCTGTGCCGTCACTAAACCTGCTGCTAAAGAAGGCGCATCGTTGTTCAGTGCATCAAGGTTTTGTTACATTAAAATTAACTGCAGTTAATTTTTTTTAAATTGCAACACAAATTGATTTCTGAGCCATAAGAATAAAGAGAGGAAACGTTAAAGTTCATACTTTATAAATCAGAAACAGCAATGTTTGAAAGACCTGTATTTTTAAATAAAATTTTGAAAAAAAAATGCAACCTCTTAAAAACAGCATTACCATAAATCAGCTATGATGACACTGGTTATTATTTTAGTCAAAGACAGCTGCCCTGTGTTGAGAAATCAGTTTTACCCTGGTTCTTTTCATTCCTCGAGCGTCCAGAGATGGCACCGGACTCAGTAGTTATTTTCGTAAAACCTTTATTCATCTTTATTCATCTTCATTTACTCATCTTCATTTAAACATGCACTTCTAGAAGGGAAGACGAGGCCGGTGTCCCTCTGCAAAAATCTTCACCCCTTTGTCTGTGAAACACAGTTTTATAGGGGCGACCCCATCATAAAACCCCCTACGGTGTGCCCCAAACTCTGTCTGTGTCTATGTGCACGAGCACATGAATGCCTACATGTGCGCGTTCCCATGTGTCTATGTGAGTGCTCGTGTGTGCCTGTGTGCGCATACCTGTGTGTATGTGTGTGCACATGAGTGAGTGTGCGTGTGCGTGACAGTTAAAACACTATGGGTATAGGTAACTCCCTAGAGGTCATAAAACCCCTCTCCCTTCCAGACCACAGGTATCCAGTTACAATGTTGAGACCCCCACCCATACATCCTCTGGGGAATTTCCACTCAGCATTAACTCTTCTCTGTTTTACTTTCACAGCTCAAGTGGGAGAGGGGTCTCCTACAATCTACTCCTAAATTCACGACACAATCAGCCTTTATTATATTGAGGGCAGTATCAGTGTCTCTACAACAGTTCTACATTCTATGATAACACATTTCTAAACTCTAAATCAGCTAAATATTCTACACCTGCTCAAAGCACTTTAGTTATGACTGTAAAGTGACTGAAGGGCATTTTAAAGCTCACTAGATTAAAAAAAACATCTAACACTAAAAATATACTAAAATGTTTAAATCTAAAAATAACTTTAAAACTAAAAATAGAAAACTTTACTTGATACCACTACAGCAAAACAAAACACAGAAAAGAACGTCGTCCTAAATGCTTCTCTGTGTCCTTGTACAGGTTTCCTCACATGAAAGTAACTTGGACAGAAGATTTGCTCAAACAGTCACGAAATGCTCTACAGCAGACCACTTCACGCTTTTGAAGTTTGATCCCAGAAGTCAACTTTGGCATCAATGATGGTTGTTGTTGTTTCTGTATGTTAACTGTCTTGTTTAAACCAGAGGTTCAGCGTGACTCCAAACAAATTACAGGACATTGTGAAATGCTCCTGCTGCAGATCCGCCGTATCCACATGAGGCTGGAAACGTTGTTGCTTTGAATCCTTCAACAAAAAAATTAAGTGAAGTGGGTGATGCTTTCACCTCTGTTAATGTTTCCAATTTGTCCAAGAGTCACCTATGAAGCTGCACTCGCAAGCTGGAGTAAGAAAGAACAGACACACAGTTTTCCTTCATTTCCATCCTTCAGCCATGAGGCAAATGCATAAAATCAAAGATTCAAGTCTTTTACATCTGTTTTTTGACACTTTGACTCAGCGAACCAACATCCTGCGACTGTGACACAGAGCACAATAAAAAAAACGCTGACCCCAAATGGGATCAGTCGGCTCCGACGGGACAAACCACCTGCCAGGAAAAAACAAACGGAGATGAGATCTACTGTAGGACACAACATGAATGTCACATTTATTAAACTACCAAGCACAGAAGTTACATAATAATGAAATAAAGTTTGAATTACTGAGATATCACTGCTGATGGTCAGGACTGGTAGCTTTATTGCTTCACAGAAAGACAAGAGATCAGAGCTGCTTAAGGAAAGTACACTTCACTTCCTGTATGTGCTTCAAATTAAGAGGTGCACATGTTAAGGACAACAAAGAGAGGGTGCCACCAGTCAGAGAAAACCACACCCTAAAGATGATTTTGATCCAGCTGTAAACTGGTTATTTTAAGGCTTTTTAACTGTCTTGATTTGTTCCTCATGTTCTCACCTTTACTGTGAAACTCTTCTGCCAGATTAGGAGTTTGGAGAGTTTCAGGATGCAGTGGTGTCTCTGTTGTCACAGTTTTAGCTGAATTTAAGTTTGGCAGAACAGAAGATTTTAAATTATTTACAATATATTCAAATATTCTTCAATGAGCAAAAACAAGTTGTTGGTAAAATAACCCAAGTACGCAGTAAGGTTAAAACCAAACAACAAAAATCTTTTCAGTCTAACTCACCAACAATCAGATGAACAATTAAAGACTTTGTTTGACTCTTTAACTTTGGGATGAAACATTTGTATCTTCCTTCATCTTCTTGTGTCACATTAGTGATTCTTAGTGAGATGTTTCCTTCTCTCAGGCCGTCTGTGAACAACGCCGTCCTCCCAATGTACGTCATCTCCCTGTTGTGCCTGTATAGATGTACATATTCCATATTACGATCAGGCCTCGACCACTCCACCGTCAGTCCCACCACGTTAAACTTTGGCTCTACGTGACACGGCAGGATGACATCATCACCTGGAGCAGCTACGATAGGCTGAGGAGATCCAACCACATGTAACTGACCTGAGGAGAAGAAAAATAAAGAAA